TTTTTTTTTTTTGAGAGAGAGAGACAGAGAGAGAGAGCATGCACACAAGCAGGGGATGGGCCGAGAGAGAGGGTGACAGAGAATCCGAAGCAGGCTTCATGCTGTCAGCACAAAGCCTGACGCGGGGCTTGAACCCATGAGCCATAAGATCATGACCTGAGCCAAAATAGGACACTGAAACAACTGAGCCAACCCAGTGTCCCATTACTACCAATCATTTTTAAAAAATGCAATAAAACTAAGATACACTTTCACTAAAAAATCAAGATATCACAAAATCAGCTTATTAATATGATTTATGTTATTTAATATTTCATTATATAGAGTATAGTTATTTATAGAATAAATGTGATTTTAAGTCACCCTGATATTTTCAATACTAAGACATAAAGGTTTACTGACTAAAAGAAAAAGGGGATAAGATATGTTGACTTCTTATTTTCTTTTATGGTATCATATAAAATATATTTTCTTCAAAAGATTTCTTCAAAATCTTTATGATTTGAGAGTTTTTTGGTTTTTATTCTTTCTCTGTGTGTCTGAATTAACACTAACTTCCTTTTTGCTTTTGAGATGTACAAATTTTGAGAATTAGGGAACTCCGTGTTCCTACTACCTAGAGTGTACAATCACTGAGTTAACATATATACTTCAAACTTTTTTCTTTTTTTTCCTTTCTTTTTTTTTTTTTGAGAGAGAGAGAACACAAGTGGTAGAGAGGGGCAAAAGGAGAAAGAGAGAAAGAGGGAAGGAGGGAAGGAGGGACGGAGAGAGAGAGACAGAGAGAGAGAGGAGAGAGTGAGCATGAGCAGGGGAGGGGCAGAGAGACAGGGAGAGAATCCAAAGCAGGCTCCGCACTGTCAGCACAGAGCCCAATGTGGGACTTCAACTCACGAATTGTGAGATTATGACCTGAGCTGAAATCAAGAGTCAGCTACTTAACAGAGTGAGCCCAGGTTGCCCTGAGAGAGAGAATCTCAAGCAGGCTCCAAGCTCAGCATGGAGCCTGATGTGGGGCTCAAGGCCACTACCCTGGGATCATAACCTGAGTCGAAATCAAGAATTGGACACCTAACTGAGGCACCTAGGCACCCCCAAAATATTTTTCTTGTAATAATAATACAGTAGCAATTATCAACATTTCAGCCATTTGTTTAACAAGTACTTATTGAGCACACACCTTGTGTTACCACTGTATTAAGCACTGCACACTGAATGGTGAGTAAAACAGCCACATAACCTACTATTACATATTTACCTTACAACCAGGTGGGCGAAAATCAAATAATCAGATAAATAGTCACAAACTGAAATGCTATGAAATTCAAGTACCAACCAGCCTTTCTTAGCTGGGATTCCAGGAGAGACTTAGATGCTAAAGGCAATGATTTGACTATTTTCTCAGTTCCCTTAAGACTGGCACATAACTAGTATCAGCCTAGAGAAGTTAATTCATAGATACAATGTGTGTCTTACTTAAGGCATTAGGATTTGACTTTCAGAACCAGTTGAGAGGGACTGGTACAGGTATTATGAAATAGAACTAAACTAGTCTTTGGTGGTGGTGGTGGTGCATGAGGAATTGGGTCAGGAAAACCAGTTATGTGAGGAAGTGAAGTTTTTAACTGAAATGTGAAGGACATATAGGTGTTATCTAGGCCATGGCTGGGTGGGATAGTAGTGTGAAACATTGTCTTTCCAGGGAACACGATACTTGAAGGCCCTAAGGGACCAAGGAGCAATGTGACTTTGGAAAATTAAAAGACCAATATAGCTGAAGAGCACTGTGGCTCCAATGGGCTACAGAAATATGAGTGGATCAAGCAAACCAGAGGGAAAGCTTTTGCAGTAATTCAGGTGAGAGATAACTGCTTAGATCAGGGTGGTGATGGTAGAAATGGAGAAAAGTAGACAGATTTGAATGGAATTTAAAACATAAAGGAAGGGATAAGGGTAGGAGGATTGTATCAACGATAAGTACCAGGTGCTGGATAAATGATGTTGCTGAACATTGGGAAAAAAGTCTAGAGAGTAAGCTTTTACCCGGTTTGAGATCACTTTGAGATATCTGAAAGATATCCTTGTCAAGAGGGAATTGCATATATGATTGCATATATATAATTTATAAATTAACCCAACTTCCCAACCTTCATATTTTTGTACTACTTTGGAGAAATATAATTATATAGTTTCATATTAACCAAAATTCTAATATGTGGGCCACTTTGTTTAAATGATTGCTAAAATACTAAATACTAAAATCAAGTTTACAGTTGGGTTGAGTATATGGTACACTGAATTTTTAACTTAGAAAATTTTTTTACACTGAAAAATTTTTAACTTTGCTGACTTTTTACAAGTGTTAATACAAATCAAATGCCAAATAAAATTCTTTTTTTAATTTAATGTTTATTTATTTAATTTGAGAGAGAGAGAGCGTGTGCGAGTGGGGAAGGGACACAGAGAGAGAGAGAGAATCCCAAGCAGGCTCTGTACTGTCAGCACAGAGCCCAATGCAGAGCTTGATCTCACGAACAATCAGATCATGACCTGAGCCAAAATCAAGAGTTGGATGCTTAACCAACTGAGTCCGTCCCACCAGATAAAATTCTTACCAATAAAAAGCAAGAAAATTCCAAATAGTGCTGTATTGGAGAGGCTAAGTAATTATATTCCTACCCTATTTTTTTGTGCTTCAATTAACTATGGTCTGTGTTTGTTCTTGAGTTTAAACAAGTTGTTGGAATGCACCTATAACCTCTTATTTAAGTTTGTCACATACCAGTTAGCAATGTCCTTGTGAGCCACTAAATTTTGAAGAAACGCTTGCAATCCTAATTGTCTATCTTCTAAAAAGTCGGCATTGTAATTATCTTTGAACCAGCGTTTTGGTGGAAGTGCTAATCGAAAGCCTGGAAACATCTCTTTTAACTGAAAAAGAAAAAAAGAAAACACAGTGTTCAACTCAATCATAGCAATTCTACAAAATCTATCCTGTTAACTACATGAAATAAACTTAAATAAAGAATAAAATCCAGCTAAGTTTTTCTTACTTCAAGTGTTTTACTTATTAATTTCTATACCAGTTGTGGGTACATACGCGTTACAACTGCTCCACATCCTTGCTAATACTAGGCCTTGTCCATCCTTTTAATGTTAGCCATTCTGGTGAGTACATAGTAGTACTTTACTGTGGCTTTAATATGCATTCCTCTGTTGACAAATCGTGTTAACTATCTTCTCTGTGCTTATTTGGATCTGCATATCTTTGGTGAATTATCTATTTAAATCTTTTAACCCCTCCACTTAAAAAAACTGGATTATTTATCTTTTATTATTAAGTTACAAGAGTTCTTTATATATTCCTGATACAAGTCCTTTGTCAGATACAGGTATGACAAATATTTTCTCCCAGGCTGTGGCTTGACTTTTACACTCATTTTTTGATTCTTGCAAGTAAAAGCAGGTGATGGGTAGAGCTATTTCTGGTACCTAGGAACAGTGACATAGACACTTATTAATTTTAGGTGCCCAAGTTGGAATATCAAGGAGATATTTACTAATTTAAATTAAATTCTTACTAATCTTTCTTTAAAAACTTAAGAGTTATCTAAATCTCAACTTGCCTAACAAATAACACAGCAATATAAAGATGCACCTAGAGAGATGAAGAGAAATAAACACTAAATAGTTGAACCCTGAAAAGAAAAATAGCAAGTCATAAAGGATTATATAGCTCTAAAGAGAAACTGTTAGAAATTAGTCTTCATGAACAAAAATTATAACAATTTCATAAGAAAGCTAAGAATTCCATTTTGGTATCTGGTAACTTCACAAATTACTTTGATCTTCTTGCTTGCTTAATTATTTTAAAAAAATCAACAGAGGTAGAAAATTATAGGTTTTATAATTCTGGGTTTATAATTATAGGTTTTATAATTATAAATTTATATATTATATATTATATATATTATGTATAATATAACAATATATATTATAATTATAACTATAATATATAATATATTATGTATGTTATATAATAAATTTAAATTATTTTAAATTATAAAATTATAATTATAGCTTTTATAATTCTTATATTACAGTAATATAAGAACTCAGGAACAATAAATAAAATTCATATATAATGGCAGGACTACATTACAAATAATACTTTAAATATCACTCCCCTCATCTACCTCCTCTAATTTCCCTCTAGCCCTGTGGACACAGCTCAGCTTTTCTTCCTCTATTACATTCTTACTGCCATTTGCTCAATCAATTCCCTACTGGAAATCTAGGTTGGTTCTAATTTTTAAGTATTAAAAACAAATTAAAACACAAAGAAAATAACAATGAACAAAACACGGTGAAAAGTATCCTTTGAACTAAATATTGCCTGCCCACATCCATGATTTCTCATATCCCAGAAATGTGATTAAGCACAACTTTAGGAAGCCATGTACCCTAGGAAGATTCGTATTTCCAACAACGGATAACACCACTTAAATGTCTGTCAACCTGATGGGTACAAAATAGTTCCTTAATTTTCTTTGGAGTACTTTGTGATATTAAATGTTTTCTACCTTTATTGGTCCTTTATATTTCTTCTATGGCTTGCCTTGTTCACACCATTTATAGTATTTTCTACTTTTTGGTTTACTTTGTTTTATTTTCAAGAGTTTTTTTTAATTAAAAAAATTTTTTTTAATGTTTATTTTTGACAGAGAGAGAGACACAGCATGAGCGGGGGAGGGGTAGAGAGAGAGGGAGACACAGAATCCGAAGCAGGCTCCAGGCTCCGAGCTGTCAGCACAGAGCCCGATATGGGGCTGGAACTCACAGAGTGAGTGATCATGACCTGAGCCGAAGTCGGATACTTAACTGACTGAGCCACCCAGGGCGCCCCTTAATTTTTTATTTTTAATATTTATTCATTTTTTGAGAGACAGAGTGTGAGTGGGGGAGGGGCAGAGAGAGAGAGGGAGACCCAGAATCCGAAGCAGGTTCCAGGCTCTGAGCGTGAGATCGTGACCTGAGCTGAAGTCAGATGCTTAACTGACCGGAGCCATCCAGGTGCCCCAACAGTTTTTAATATATTGAGGGTTTTTATTATTATTCTGTTTCATAAATGCAGTAGGCAGAATTCTAGATGGTCTCATGACCTTTGCTCCTGGTGTTGTGATTTTGTTATGTTACACAAAAGAGATTTGTATGCAGATGTAATTAGGGTTACTCTTTAATTGGTCTTAAAATGGGATTATCTGGGTAAACCTAATCTTATCATACGAGTCCTCTAAAAGTACAGCTTTATTCCTTGCTGACTGCAGAAGAGAAAGTCAGAGATTCAAAGCACAAAAAGGACCTGACCTGGCTATTGCTGACTTTAAAGGTGGAGAGGCCAGGTACAAGGGCTGGACAGCACTCTTTATGAGCTCAGAACACCTCTGCTTGACAACCGCAAGGAAATAGGGAGCTTGGTCTTACAAGTGTTAAGAAACTGAACTCGGCTAACAACCTGAATGAGCCTGGAAGCTGATACTTTCTTAGAGCCTCCATGTAAGAGCCCAGTCTAGGCAACAGCTTGATTTTGACATTGTCTGACCCCAAGTGGCAAACCCAGCTGAGCCCACCTAAATCACTACACTTGATCTTAGCCAAAAGGCTGAGAAGTGATCCTACATCACTAGATAATAAAAAGGTATGTTTTAGGTCATAAAGTTTGTGGTATTGGTAAACAGCAATAGAAAACTAATACAACATGGTAGAAATACTTTTTTTGTTCATTCTCTTATTGTCACATGGTTTAGGAGATCTTATATACACATACCTTTTTCAAATTCACAAGGTTATATGATCATTTATATTTCTGTTAGCAATTTTAAGGTTTTCACATTTTTATACTAAAAATAATTTTTTTTTCCAAAATAAGGAAGTTGTGTGTAGAGATGGGTCTTTAGGCTATTAAAATTAAGTGAAATAGTTAATTTTCTTAGGAACTAGCAAAGATTTGACTTCACTCAAGTAACTCATGAGGAGGAAAAACCACAAATTTAACTGTCAGTAACAGTTAATAATGCAAAACTGAAAAGTCCATTTTAGATTTATCTAAGGACTTACTTTATCATTAAGCCTAGAGAAGTCAGTGTATCTTCTGAAAACCACCCAGCTTTCTTCTGGGGTTTTCTTTACTAGTATTTTATATACCTGTGCAGAGAAAGAGAGAGAGAGACTGAAAAAAAAATGTATATAAGATATTTAAAACTTCAAATCAAATATTTTTAAAACTTTTATTTGAAAACCCGGATAACAAATAGTATGTAAAAAATATCAGAAGTCACTTGGACCATCAAATATACAAATTATTACAATGCAGGCATCAAAAGCAAGATTCAGGTCTTAAGAAACATGAGTGTGACAAATTTGAGACAAATGCTTTTCTGGCACACGCTAAATAAACTCATCAGTTCCAAAATATGTTTTATGATAAAATATTCTAAAATTGATGAAAGACTTAATCATGCTTGAAAAATAGCCACTCTTGCCCTATACAATCAATTTAACTTCTAAATTCAATAACTATTAAGCAAAGTTTTCAAATACATTTGATGTTGTTTCAATCTTCAAGGCTGAAATGCAGGTAAAAAAATATCCATATTATATAAAAGTTTACATTTCTATAATTATGCACAATTATCTAGGCTTCAAAAAAAAACTTGGTTGAGGCAAGTCAATATTTTTAAAAAACATATTATAAGCAAACTCAATTCTATTTTTTGTAAATATAATTTTAGAACTTATTATGAGGAAGTACTATGTATAAGAGAATCTCAGAGAACGTCTCCTGATAGTTTTGGCACAGTATTTTGGGCTAAACTAAATACATGACGCATGTGAAGTACTAAATACCCACCTGCTGAACCAGTGAAACCCTCTTAATAATGAGTAACTTTTTTTCCTGAAGTCAGCTGTGGAATAACGTTCAGCTGGAGCTCTAGAGCTGCACTTGAGCCACAGGTGGCTACTGAACACGTGAAATGCTGACAAGTCCCAAATGACAGGTGATATGAGTGTAAAATAAACACCAAATTTCAAAGACTTAGAATGAAAAAAAAAAAGGTTCATAAATGGTTTCAGGTTAAATAAACTATATTATTAAATATAATTTCATCTGCTTTTTACTTCTGTGGCTCACAGAGTCCTACTGGTTGCTGTAGAGAAGACTCGTTATTTAGGGGCTAGATCATCCTTATCATTTGAATTTTCTCCCTTACCAGACTTCTCTTTCAGCTTTTAAGGGGGGAATGAGGAATCAGCAAGGATTAGGGTTGAACTGTCCCACATCTCAAGGTAACATATAAGGATGATGAAGATTATTCGGATACCCTTTAAGGTCTGCAGAAAGTCCTGATCTAAGATGGTTGTAAAGGAGATACTAAAGAAACATTTTTTAGGAGTTACTAATCAAAACAAAAGGGATAACTTAGCTTCCAAACTTGTGAGTATGAACAACTGATGCATAATAAAAGTCAACCTCATATGGTAATAAGTCTTACCTACACATAATCCATATTGTCTTTATTTTCCTGTTTTAAAAAATGAACACTCCTTTCTAAGTTGCTCTCCACAGTGGCCCCTGAGCACTTCTGCTTCTCTAAGAAAGACAAAGTACAGATTTTTGTGCTTTGTCTTCTCTAGAAAGCTCTCCCATGTTTCTATTTGTTTAAGTAGTGCTTTCAATGAAAACTTTATGGACACTACCGATCATTCCCTCCTCTATGTTTTAATAGCATTTATGGTTTCTACTCTTTACTGGAAATTTAGTATATACAACTTTGTACATATTTACGTTGTAAGTAAATTATGCAGAAGCATATACTTAATTACAAAATACACATAGAAAAGCACAGAAATTATAAGTATACAACTTGATGAATTTTCACAAACACACACACTCAGGTAACTAGTACCAAGTGCAGGAAAGAAAACATTACCAACTGAAGAAGCCCAATCCTTCCCAATCTGACTCATCACTCCTCCGAGTCACTTTTGTTCTTTGTATTTTTAAAATAAAAAAAAATTTTTTTCCTATTTATTTTGAGAGAGAGAGAGAGAGAGAGAGCGCGAGAGAGAGCGAGAGAGAGAGAGCACACACACATGAATCGCGTAGGGTCAGAGAGAGGGGGAGAGAAGGAGAATTCCAAGCAGGCTCTGCATTGTCAGTGCACAGCCCAATGCAGGGCTCTAACTCAAGAACTGGGAAATCATGACCTGAGCCTAGATCAGAGTTGGACGCTTAGCTGACTGAGCCACCCAGGCACACCCACTTTTCCTCTTAAACAATTTTCAAAGACTTGATGCTCTCTATTTTACCAGATCTTACCAGTCATTCTTAATACTTGTTTAGTTAAGAGATCAATCAAAAGAAATATATGTAGGAAACATTATCTTACAAACCTAAGATTCCTCCCAAGCTTGTATTTCCAGCTCAGACCTCTCCCCTAAATTCAACTTATATTAATATACATATACATAATACATGCTTGCGTACACACTACGTGTATGTACACAGACACGTACATGATATCTCCATTTTGATGTCTACTAGGTATCCCAAACCTAGCATGTCCAAAACCAAATCCTGATCTTGCCCTCATAATCTGATATCTAATTAAATGGCAACCCTATTCTTCTCATTGTTTACCCAAAAACTTTGGGATCATCTTTGATTTTTCTCCCACATCTCAAGGTTCTATCTTCAAAATGTATCAGAATCTGATCACTTGTTAGAAATTCTCCCACCACCCTGTCCATGCCACCATCATGTCGTCTACCGTGGATTACTGCAAGAACCTAATACCCCCTGTTTCCATTATTCCCCCACAAAATCTAGTTTCAACTCAGCAGCCAGATCAATCTTTTTTAAAAATTAAGTCAGATCATGTGACTTTAAAACTTCTTAAATTTAAACATTTAAATCCTTTAAAACATTTTCAAAGATTTTCATCTTGTGCAGAGTAAAATCTAATGGCCTTACAATGGCTACATGCTCTACTTGATCTGTGTGTCACACTCCCTTGTCTTTACTTGTTATTTCAGTTCCTACATCTCTCCCCATGGCTTCTTTGCTATCAGCCACTAGGGTCTCTGTAGTTGTCTCACCTGTCAGGAAAGTTCTTTCCCCATATACTCTCATGGTTCGCTGTCTCTTAGTGCTAACATCTTTTCTATGAGGCCATGATTGACAATGTCATTTAAATTGCAACTCCAGTTGTGGGGGAACTTCCTTCACTCTTTTATTTTCCTCTATAGCACTTATCACCATATGACATACCAGCATTTAAAAAAGCTTACTTTATCATTCACTCATTTGGGTTGCTGTACCCCCAAAATGTTGAATTAATGAATAAAAATAACTTTACAACTGTTACTTACTTCTTTCCCTCTAGAAAATGAGTTCCCACTTTATTTTAATTTCCAAAAAAAGTCAGGTCCATGCAGATTTCCCAACACATCACCAGTCTCATGAAAATTTAACCCTAAAGATTGTCTCTCTTCATAAATTATCTCAATACCCTGGTGAACATAGATGCAAAAATCCTCAACAAAATATTAACAAACTGCATTCAACAATACATTACAAGGATCATTCACCACAATCAAGTGGAACTTATTCTGGGAATGCAAGAATGGTTCAACATCTACAAAGCAATCAACATGATACACCACATCAACAATACAAAGGATAAAAATCATATGATCACTTCCATAGATGCAGAAAAAGCATCTGACAAAATCCAACATCTGTTCATGAAAAAATTCTCAACAAAATACATTTAGAAAAAAGATATCTCAACATAATAAAGGCCATATATGAAAAGCCCACAGTTAACATCATACTTAGTGGGGAAAAACTGAGAGTTTTTCCTCTAAGATCAGGAACAAGACAAGGATGTCCACTCTTGCCACTTTAATTCAACATAGTACTGAAAGTCCTAGCCACAGCAATCAGATAAGAAAAAGAAGTAAGAGGTATCCATTTTTGTAAGGAAGAGTTAAACCATCACTATTTGCAGATGATATGATACTGTACACAAAAAATCTTAGACGCCACCAAAAAACTATTAGAATTAATGAGTTATGTAAAGTTGCAGAATATAAAATATATACACAGAAATTGGTTGCATTTCTACATACTAGTAACAAAGTAGCAGAAAGAGAAATTAAGAACACAATTCCATTTACATTTGTGTCAAAAAGAATAAAATACCTAAGAATAAACTTAACCATAGAGGTGAAAGACCTGTACTCTCAAAACTACAAAACAAGGGGGCGCCTGGGTGGCGCAGTCGGTTAAGCGTCCGACTTCAGCCAGGTCACGATCTTGCGGTCCGTGAGTTCGAGCCCCGCGTCAGGCTCTGGGCTGATGGCTCAGAGCCTGGAGCCTGTTTCCGATTCTGTGTCTCCCTCTCTCTCTGCCCCTCCCCCGTTCATGCTCTGTCTCTCTCTGTCCCAAAAATAAATAAACGTTGAAAAAAAAAATTAAAAAAAAACTACAAAACAAGGATAAAAGAAATTGAAGACAACACAAACAATTGGAAAGACATTCCATTCTCATGGACTGGAAGAATGGTGTTAAAATGTCCATCCTACCCAAAGCAATCTACAGATTCAATGCAATCCTTATTGAAATATCAACAGCCATTTTCCACAGAACTAGAATAATCCTAAAATTGGAACCACAAAAAACCCTGCATAGCCAAAGCACTCTTGAGAAACAAGAACAAATCTGTAGGTATCAATATTCCCAGATTTCAAGATATACTACAAAGCTATACTAATCAAAACAGTAAGGTAATGGCACTAAAATAGATACACAGATCAATGGAATAGAATAGACAGCCCAGAAATAAACCCATGCTTACTTATACAGTCAATTAATCTATGACAAAGGAGGCAAGAACATACAATAGGAAAAAGACAGTCTCTTCAATAAATGGTGCTGGGAAAACTGGAAAGTGAACCTGGATCACTTTCTAACACCTTACACAAAAATAGACTCAAAATGGACTGAAGACCTAAATGTGAGACCTGAAACAATAAAAAAAGAGAATCCAAGCAACAAACTTTTTGACATCAGCCTTAGCAACATTTTTCTAGATATGTCTCCCAAGGCAAGGGAAACAAAAGCAAAAATAAACTATTGGGACTACATAAAAATAAAAAGCTTTTGCAAAATGAAGGAAACCATCAAAAAAAACTAAAAGACAACCTACTGAACGGTAGAAATTATTTGCAAGCAATGTATCTGATAAGGGGCTAATATCCAAAATATATAAAGAACTTATACAACTCCACATCAAGAATACCCACAAGTAATCCAATTAAAAATGGGTATTATGGGGCACCTGGATAGCTCAGTCAGTTAAGCGTCTGACTCTGGCTCAGGTCATGATCTCACTGTTTATGGGTTCAAGCCCCGCATCGGGCTCTGTGCTGACACTCAGAGCCTGGAGCCTGCTTTGGATTCTGTGTCTCCCTCTCTCTTTGTACCTCCCCCATTTGTAATCTGTCTCTCAAAAATAAATAATAAACATTAAAAAGAAATGGGCAGAAGACCTGAACGGATTTTTCAAAGAAGACATACAGCTGACAAATAGACACATGAATAGAAGATGTTCAACTTCATTAACTATAAGGGACATGCAAATCAAAACCAGAACGAGATATCACCTTGTATCTATCAGAGTGGCTAAAATAAAAATGGTAAGAAATAGTAAGTGTTGCCAAGGATGTGGAGAAAAAGGAACCCTTGTACATTTGTTGGTGGGTATGTAAATTTGTACAGTCACTGTGGAAAACAGTATGGAGGTTCTTCAAAAATTTAAAAATAGCATTACCATAAATACTGGGTATTTACCCAAAGAATATGAAAGCAATAATTCAAAAAGATATACCCCTTTGTTTACTGCAGCATTACTATTTATAGTAGCCAAGATATGGAAGCAACCTAAGTGTCCACTAATAGATGAATGGATAAAGAAGATGTGGTGTGTATATAAACACATACACACACATATATAGACATACAAATAGACACATATACAAAACTGAGTATTACACAGCCATAAAAAAGGATGAGATCTTGCCGTATGTGACAACATGGATGAACCCTAGAGGGTATTATGCTAAGCAAAATAAGTCAGACTGAGAAAGACAAATAGCATATGATATCACTATGTGGAATTTAAAAAAACAAATGAATAAACAAAAAGCAGAATCAGATCTATAAATATAGAGAATTGATGGTTGTTGAAGGAAAGAGGGGTAGGTAAAAGTGCAAAATGGGTAAAGGGAGATACAGGTCTCCGGTTATGGATGAATAAGTCATGGGAAAAAGGTACAGCATAAGGAAAATAGTCAATGACACCGCAACAGTGTTGTGTGGTGACAAAGGGTGGCTACACTTATGGTGAACATAGCATAATGTGTAGAAAAGTTGAATCACTATGTTGTACACCTGAAACAAACATAACACTGCATGTCAACTATACTGATAAAAAACTTAGAAAAAAATTAAACATATCCCTAACAACAAAAATTATCACAACAACTTTTTTCTTGGAGGTCCTACTATACTGTCATAAGTTTATAGCATGAAATGTTGAAGTAAACATAAAAACTTTGTATCAAGAAAATCCAAGAAGAACTATTTCAATTATAAGTATATTCAGCAAGGTCTCCAGATACAGAAACACATTGACACACAAGACCATAACATATAAACTAGCAATTAACAAAAAGAAAACAAAACAAGGTAACAAGAACATCAAACAACATATTTCTCAGTATTCAGAAATAAAACTAGGGGCACCTGGCTGGCTCAGTTGGTAGAGTATGTGACTCTTGATCTTGGGGTTGTGAGTTTGAGTCCCACGTTGGGCATAGAGATTACTTAAAAAGAAAAAAAAAACACTAAAAAATGAAAGGCCTCCGCTCTGAAAAGTACAAAACATTAAAAGAAGTTAATGACTTCCGTGTATGGATTAGGCTCATAGATGCAGAGACTCAGTGGTGTACAGATGTCAGTTCTCTCCAGTCTATAGATTCGATACAACTGCAGTGCAAAGAGCCAAGGATAACCAAGACAGTCAATAAGAACAAAGCTAGACTACTTAAGACAGCAGGTAGCCAGGCCTCTCATACTGCATTAGTAATTAAGGACAATGTGGAATTGGTAAATGAAGGAAAAATGGAACACAGAAACCCATATGTTCATGATTGCCTGATTTATGACATAAGCAACTGTGCAAATGTGGACAGAGTTGTCTTTTCAATAAAAACCGGACTACTTTATCCTATACGGAGGGGAAAAAAATGTCTTGACCCTTATCTCACACCACAGACAAAAATAAATTCCAGATGCTTTACAGATCTAAATGTGAAAGGTCCAACAATAAAGTTTTTGAAGAAAACATAGGCCAACATCTTTGTAAGCTGGGAATAGGTAGATTTTAAAAGTGTTAGGATGCCTGGGTGGCTCAGCTGGTTAAGCATCTGACTTCAGCTCAGGTTATGATCTCATGGTTCACAAATTCAAGCCCCATGTGGGGCTCAGAGCCTGGAGCCTACTTCAGATTCTGTGTCTCCCTCTCTCTCTGCCCCTCCCATGCCTGTGCTCTGTCTCTCTCACTCTCAAAAATAAATTAAAAACACATTAAAAAGAAAAGTTAAAAAAAAGTGTTAACCGTAAAAGAACAAGTATTAATATATTTATATTCGTATAGTATATATAAAGCATATTAATAAATTAATAAAGCATATTTATTACTATGAACTTTTGTTTATCTAATGCATCATTAAGAAAGTGAAACGGCAAGCCACAGAGTGAGAGATAACACAATGCATGCTGTAAGAAAAAACTTATGTCCAAAATGCAGAGAAAACTATAAATCAAGTAGAAAAAACTTTCCCAAAGAAAAAGGAATAAAGGTCTGGAACAAATACTTCACAACAGGAATGTTTTGGCCATCCATCCAATGGCCAAAAACATCTTCAATTTAACTAGCCATTTAAAAAATGCAAATTAAGAACATAATGTGATATTACTCTATCCACCAGAATAGGTAAAATGAAAAAGATGAAAAATACCACACATTGGGAAAATGTAGAGTAACTAGAACTCTCACCTGCTTACAGGAGTATAAATTAGTACAACCACTCTGGCACATTGTTCATCAATATCTTCTAAAGCTAGGCATATAATCTAGCAGTTTTACTCCTGGGCAGATACCAAACAGAAACATGTACATGTGTTTACTGAGTGACAAGTACCAAAAGGTTCATTGCAGTAGCATTTGTAAGAGCCCCAAACTGGAAATTCTACAAATGCTTCAACAGTAGAATGGTTTAATAAATTGTAGTATGTTCACAAAAAAGGAATACGATCAGTAACAAAAATGAGCTACCTATAATTACACGCAAGTTTAAGGATAAATCTTACAAACATAATATTGAAAAGACCACACTTCAAAGAGTACATACTCTGCAATTCCATTTACATAAGGTACAAAAATAGGCAAAATTAATGCAGGCTATCAGGAAGAGTGGGTATTGACTGACAGAGCATGGCGGAGGTGCATTTTGGATGCTTGTTCTGTTTCTTGATCTGTGTGCTAATTTCACAGAAATTTCTGGTTTGTGAAAATTCATTCAAATAAAACAAAGGTTTACTACAGCATGACAGTATTTAGAGTTGTAAAAACCACTTGAATTTTATGTTCAAGAAATTACAAGTATAGGTAACAATTAAACCCAATTTTTCACTTTCTACTGACGTATAGCAGAAGTTAATACTCACGGTAAATTTGGCTCTTTCTTCCATCACCTCATAACCCAATATAGTAGGTGTAGAAGGTCTATCTTCCAAACACACTGTTTCAGGATTTTGTTCCTCACTTTCTCTTGGTCTAGTAGAATACTCAATGGAAGAATCTGCACCTGTAAATTTAGTCCTAATGAGGGGACTGCTACAGACAGATGAAGTACTATCCATTTGATCAGGTACACTTGTCTGTTTAAAATTACCCATATTTGAGTCCTCTAACTGGCCTTTGGAAGAGTTTGAACTTGTTGAGATACTCCCAAAAGAAGAACTTCTTTGGTTTCTGTTGGTTGTAAAAGTGGAAGCAGAGTTCCCTATGGGCATAGGAACTGGGACATAAGGAGTTGCCATCTTCTTTTAGCTTTTGCAACAAACCTATACGCTGCTGAGTCCAAACATTTAGAGAATAACTAATATGAAATCCATTATTTTCTTCTTGGGAGTTCACTATCTAAAAATGAGAAGAACATATTGAAAGGTTAGTCTTTAATTTGGAACGTTATCCCAAAAACCCCCAGAATGTTCACATTCATTTCTTTTGATTTTGTGACACTCGGTTACTTTATGTGGAATGAAAACATGCCCCAAACCTCTTTCTTTAATCCCAAAATATCATCTCTAAGGACTCTCATTTGCAAGGTAAAGAGAGTAAAACTACTCCATTGTCTTTTTCTTGACTTTCATACTACAGGTTCTTTTCAATCTCTACTTCATTTCCTTGTGATAGATTTCTGTAATGTTCATTTTAACGTGATTTCACCTACATAGAAGAGTTGGAAACAGGACGAGTGGTAAATAAAGCCCTTTCTGAAACTTAATTGTCTGCTTATGGTCCTGACAGTTCTACATACAAGGAGGGAAGGAGGGAAGAAAAGAAAGGGAGGAGAGTTATTCGTATTTCCGTTTGATTTAATTAGCAAAACTCTAAAGAATTACCCTGAGTAATAACAGTGAACCAGAAGCTTAGATGTTACAAAGCAAACATCAACTGCTCTTAAAATTTTAGCTTACTAAATACAGGATGAAATGTACTGGAAAAACTCCTGGTCAATTTAAACTAATCAAATAAAACCCAATGAACATTAAACTTATATCCTAAAATATGAAAAGGTTGAAAGTGAAAATGTTCTTCAGTCTCCAGATCATCAGTAATCCTGCTATGCTATAAACTGAGGGTAGTCAACAAATCTTTACAACTCATACTCCATAATCTCTGTTGTCAAAAGGACCAATTTATCTTGTCTCAGAATAATCTCATAATTATACAATGAAGAAAAGGTTTACCACTAAGTTGTTAAATAATAAACTAAGAAACTGTAATAACTACAGACCTGTGAAATGGCACATAACAAAGGGTCTGCCTATCTTAACTACATCTATGCAACTCTACTAGTGAGAAAGGTAGGAATGGAGCTGCTTGGGCTTGGAAAAGATGCTGATGTAAGATTAATTCAGCACGTGGCTCTGGGCAACCTTCCTCATCATCAAAGGTTCAAGAAACTCGAGTTGCTGATTCACTGCTCCTCGGTTCTGCCTGATGCTCCCCCCACACTCCCAAGAAGTAAATAAAAGTCTGAAATCTTATCCTTTTCAAAGCCCGTGGGATAGCCCTGCCCCTTGCTACTCAACTACCTGAGGCCACAGGGCTGGGGGAAGGACGCGCGTATCAACACAATCACTGACATGCAAAGAAGTGAGCGCTACCCAAACTTTAAGAAAACGTACTGGGCTCATTAACAGCGTGTTCACTTTTGCCTTGGCATGGAGATGCTCCGAAGCCTGACATCTTAGTCCTACGCTGGAAAAACCTTAGGCAGGTGAGGTGGCCCGAGCCTGAGCAACGAGGTAGGAGAGAGAAGTGGGTGGCGAGAGGAAAAGTGGAGAACCCAGGGGCAGTTCGACCTCAGGAGTGCCTTGTCAGGGTGATTTCGGCTCATTGGGTGGGAAGACCCACCGCTCTCCGGAGCTCCCAGGGGCCCCAAGACGGTCCCAACTCCGCCGCCCCGCGCGAGGCCAGCGCCTCCAGACGCGCGGCAGAGTCGGCGGTGGCCTGAGGGTGGCCCGAAGGTTCCTGCGGGGCCCGTCCACCCTCCAGTGGAGTCCGCCAGACGCCCGCCAGCCAAGGGGGCGCAGGTGTCACTCGAAAGAGCGCCGGGGAAAGCGCCCGCCGCCTCGTCCCTACCTCAGCCCCCTCCGCGATCCCGTAGAGCGCGCTTCCCCGTGACGGTTAAATCCGACCCTCCTTAACCGCAGCTTTTTGTCTCCACCCACGGGACCAAGAAGCCTCACGTGACCTTCCGTCCCCTAAAGCAGCCGCTCTCTGCCTCAGCCCGGCTTTACCCGGCTGCCGCGGGGCCCAGGATCCCTGCGAGGTGGAGGGAGGGGCCAATCCGGGCCGCCTCTCCAGGAAGTGACGTCACGCAAAGAGCTTTTTCTCCCTCCTCCTCAGCCCCCTACCCCCCCGGAGGCACTAATTCGAATTGTGCGTGCGGCTAGGGCTCTTTGGCAGCTGGGTTGGACCTAGTGTTGTGGTAAGAATTCTACTTTCTCTTCCCTAGCTTTATTTTTATAAACTAACTTTGAGAAATGGAGGCAAAGACGCCTAGTTTGCCGCACAGGGGATCAGATTTCAGTTCCGTGGAGGAACTACAGTCAGCATTGGTCCAGGCACCAGCTTTGCATCCTGGGACTTGTAGTCATCACTAGCTTGGGCTGGTTCTAATAGATTATAAATTGTTTTCTGAAATTAGTGGAGCTAAGATCATTCCTTGATTTCTAAGGTTTTGGAACATTCCCAAAACTGGGAGAAATTGATAGTTGTAATTTCAAAATGACCATAGGAAGATAATATAGTTTGTGGTGTAATAAAGGGTTTTGGGTTGATATTTCTCTTCTTGTGCGAGTGTGACATAAAAAGAGAATTGTATGGAAACAGTAGACTAAAACATGAAGTAGTTTTCAGGATAGAGTTGGCAGTCTTGGCCCTGAAGTGCCAGTTATATTCATGGGTTCTGTAAGTGAATAGGGGTATAGAGAGAAAAAAAAAAAAGAACCTTGGAGTAATTCCTTCACCTGTGGATAGGTCTGCAGGTGGTAGCAAAAGTTACTTATGATGAGAAAAACCTGACAGTCCAATATCAAGGAAGCCAAGGCAAATTAAACTTTCAAGAAGCAAAGGTGTACAAATACCACAGTTAAGAGGAGGAAGGATCTAGAAAAGTTTATTGAAACTGTCCAGGAAGAACTTCCTTCACGGATTATTGAAAGGAGCATACAGGATATAGATACCATGTGTTCTTTATCTATTTGGTATTGATAAATGTCTACATTTTACTTACAGAAAACAATCTGAACATCTTTTTTTAATATAAAATACTTCATTTTTATTATTTTTTTAATGTTTATTTTTGAGAGAAGAGCAAGCACGTGAGCAGGGGAGGGGCAGAGAGAGAGAGAGAGAGAGAGAGGGAATCTGAAGCATGCTCCATGCTGTTAGGTCAGAGCCCAATGCGGGGCTAGAACTCACGAGTCGTGAGATCATGACCTGAACTGAAATTGGGTGCTTAAACGACTGAGGCACCCAGGCACCCCTAAAATGAAATAATTTTTTAAATTGAAGGTATAATTTACATATTGTATTAGCTTCACGTGTGCAACATAATTGACATTTGTGTATATTGAGAAAATGATTGCTACAATCATCTCCATACATAGATCCAAGCTTTTTTTTCATGTGATGAGGATTTTTAAGATTTACTTTCTTGGCAACTTTCTTTTTTTTTTTTTTTAATTTTTTTAATGTTTATTTATTCTTGAGAGAGAGAGACAGACACAGCATGAATGGGGGAGGGACAGAGAGAGAGACACACAGAAAGAGACGCAGAATCCAAAGCAGGTTCCAGGCCCTGAGCTGTCAGCACCGAGCCTGATGTGGGGTTGGAACTCATGAACTGTGAGATCATGACCTGAGCTGAAGTCGGATGCTTAACCAACTGAGCCACCCAGGTGCCCCTTAGTAACTTTCAAATATGCAATACAGTATTAGTTGTCATAGTTACCATACTGTACATTATATTATCATGACTTACTTTATAACTGGAAATTTATACCTTACCTTTTGACTTCCTTTACTCATTTTGCTCATCTCCCCTCCCACCTTTGGCAACCACCAGTCTGTTCTCTGTATCTATGAGCATTTTGTTTGTTTTGTTTTTTAAATTCCATGTGTATTCTGTATGTGAGTGAGATCATATGGTATTTGTCTTTCTCTGACTTATTTCACTTAGCATAATGCCTCCTAGGTCCATCCATGTTGTCACAAATGGCAAGATTTCATTCTTTTTTTTATGGCTGCATAGTATCCTGTGCATCTTCTTTATCCATTTATGTGTTGATGGACATTTTAGTTGTTTCCAAATCTTGGCTATTGTAAATAATGCTGCAGTGAACATGGGAGTCCATACTTACTGAGTTAGTATCTTCATTTTCTTTGGATAAATATCCGTAGTGGATTTGCTGGATTGTATGGTAATTCTATTTTTAATTTTTTTGAGGAAACTCCATATTGTTTTTTTTTCATTTTTTTAAAAAAATGTTTATTTAAAGACACTTTCTTTTTTTAAAGTTTATTTATTTATTGAGAGAGAGAGAGAGAGAGAGAGAGAGAGAGAGACGGGGAAAGACAGGGGCAGAGAGAAGTAGAGAGAGAATCCCAAGCAGGCTTTGCACTGTCAGTGCAGAGCACAATGTGGGCCTGAACTTACAAACCGTGAGATCATGACCAGAACCAAAATCAAAAGTCGGCTGCTTAACTGACTGAGCCACCCAGGTGCCCCTATTTATTTATTTTTGAGAGAGTATGCACATGTGAGCTAGCACAGGAGTAGGGGAGGGGCAGAGAGAGAAGGGAGAGAAGATCCAAAGTGGGCTCTGTGCTGACAGTAGAGGGCCTGATGTGGGAGTTGAACTCACATACAATGAGTTTGTGACCTGAGCTGAAGTTGGATGCTCAACCAACTGAGCCTCCTAGGCGCCCTTATCCTTTTTTTTTTTTTTTTTTTTTTTTTTTTTTTTTTTTTTTTTTTTTTTTCTTAAGAGAGAGCATGAGTGGGAGAGAAGGGCAGACGGAAAGAGAGAGAATCTCAAGCAGGCTCCATGCTCAACACGGAGTTTGACACGGGGCTCAATCCCACAATCCTGGGATCATGACGGAGCTGAAATCAAGAGTCAGATGCTCAGGACACTTGGGTGGCTCAGTTGGTTAAGTGTAGGATTCTTGTTTTTGGCTCAAGTCATGATCTCATGGTTTTAGGAGTTTGAGCCCCACATCAGGCTCTGTGCTGTCAGTGTGC